GGACAGAAAAAACTACAATAACAAAGAGTAGAAATGAGTGGCTTTTATGTGTTTTTTTATACTTTTTTCGGAATTCTCTGCGGGCTCATGAAAGGAAGCAATGAAACATAGTATTTTTTTGTTTGTTTTTTGATCTATACTCCACGCTGCTTGACTCCCTCATTCCGTTAAAAGTGACTCTGTGTGATTTTTTTCTTTTTTTTGTCATGTATTATTTGGCAATATTATGCATGTATATACACCTTCTGCCCTCCCACAAACAAACTAACAAAAACTTTAAAGTGAGGGCAAGGTGGCTACTCTGTGTGTGTGTGTGTGTGCGTCCGTTATGCAGACGGCCTTCATTCTGCAGCGCCTCTTGACGGAGGAAGGAGCTTTTTTCCATTCTGCAATGCAGGTGAGGCCCATCTCTTCCATGGGTGGTGGTTACGGTGTGGTGGCCGCGGCGCCATTGAAGCCCGGTACATTTCTTGCAAAGATACCACGGCGCTCTATGATCACGGCTAGCAAGGCACGTCGTTATTTAGCATATTTCGAATACCGTCAGAGACATGTTCTCCCTGAAAACAATCTACTGTCCAACAAAACCGTTCCTGAAGCAGCCTTGGCAAGCGTTGAAAGAGAGCTATCGCAGACTCTTTCTCCAGCAAACACCATTATTTGTTACCTGCTTTTGACTGCGGCACAATGCGGTCGGTTTCATGTCCCACTTACTCAAAATGGCACGGATGTGGCTGCTGCTAGTAGCAGGAAAAGGGATGAACAGCTCTGTCAGAGTGATCATGCGTGGATGAAGACCTGGATACTCTCGCTTCCTACCCATTACGATAATCTTCTGGAGCTGCGTCCAGAAAAGGAGGATGGGGAAGTTTCTTCAGGCCTTGATAAGGCTGCCAAAATGTGTTCTTCGCCTGATGCATATCTCCACCCTTACCTACAGTTTGAGCGGCATCGTTGTAAGGTGCTGCAAGAGCAGGCGAAGGTTGAGGCGGAATTTCGGTTGTGCCAGTCGGTGCTATCCGTTTTACAAACGTTGCCACATCCTGAGGGTGGAGGGGCACCAGTATCAGCTACATTGGATCAGTTTCTTTGGGCTTACAACACCCTGATGACTCGTGGTTTCTCGTACGATCGAGAGGTTTGGAGCCTTATGCCGTGGGTGGATTACTTTAACTACGCTTTTACCAGCAATGCCACAATGAAGTACGATGAAAGACGCGAAGCATACGTGTTTGAAACACTTTTTCCCATTGAAGAAGGGGAACAAATTCTACTGCACTATGGTGCCTATACCGACATGGAGTTGCTGCTGTGGTATGGTTTTACCCTTACCCCAGGTTTATTCCCTGAATTTACCAGGGGCACTACACTAGAAGAACGAGGTCAGATACTGCGAATGCTTTTGCGTGAAGATCTAGAACCAATGAATGCTGCTGAAGCTTGTTTTTCCCATCGCGATGGTGTGTGGCTAGACGCCGTAAACAGGGCTTTGGGCTATTCTTTCTCACCATGGGCCGATGCGGACGGATCCTATCCTCCTTCTAGACCACGTGAGTCATGGCTAGAACTCCTCCTTTCTGCGTACATGAGGCTGGTAAATGTGAGTAGTGCTGACAACCACAAGTATTATTTCCCCCCTGCAGCAGAGGCAGCGAATGTACTTGCAAAGACAATTATGGGGACACCGACGCAGCACTCACTTCCACCCAAACTAACTGCCTACGATTGTCGTCTGGGAGCACGAGGCCCATCGCCATCTATGCTGCGTCTTCTGAAATACGCTAGCCGAATTTGTTCCACCTCTAACGGAGCGACGCGTTTAACCCCAGCTGACGTTTTGCGAGCTATTTGTTGGGCAGAACTGTTTTGTAATTCTGGTTCAGGGATTGAATCGTTATTACTTACAAATGGGACGGTTGCACCGCTACAAGGCGGTGCAAAGGCCATGGCGTGTCAGGCGTCGTTGGATGCTGTCGTGCTCCTGCACTTTCTGGCGGTGGAGGCGACCGAGGACGAATTGCGCATCTACCTTTCGAGGGAATGCGGGTAAGCGGAGATGGGGACCACATTACCGATTAAACATGCGAAGGCGTTGCCTAATTGGAAGAGGGCGTAAGCGGGCGGGGGGTGGGGGACTTAAATTAATCTTTGTTCTTTTTTTTTACCTTTTTTTTTTTGTAGATGCCATGGGAAGCATCTCACCCTCTCCCTCCCTTTCTACGCCTGTAATGAATGCCATGGCTTCTACTTCTGTCGGCAGTCGCAAGGCAGGGAAAGGGTTGCCAGTGACCATCCCCGTTGAATCTTGTTCTCTATGTAGTTATTATTGAACTTTTTATGACGAGACATTCGCAGGGCTCACATTTTTCAATCGCCTTCTGTTTTGTTTGTGTTTTTGTGGTTTTTCTGCCTTTGCTTTTTGTGTTGTGCTGCGACGCTTTTGCGCGCCTGCATATATGCCGTGGGAGGATGGAGCTGAAGTCTGCTTAAAAGAAAGAAAGAAGAAAAGAAACAAAGGGGGAAAAAAACTGGTGCATAAATTATAATATTTCCTTTTTTATTTTTTATTTGTTGTTGTTGTTGCTAAACACCTCATCTTTTTGTTGTTGTTGTTTGTGTTTCGTGTAACACGCAGGCGTAGAGGAATGCCAGAGCCTGATGATTCTGCCGTCCAGGAAAGAGTTGCTAATGACGGCAGCAACGCCAATAGTGGTCACTGTTTAGAAGTTTTTCTCGCCATGTATGCCTCGCAATGCAAAAAGTCTGCCACCGAGATGAACCCTCGTGCGCTGCAGGCTGCTGTTGCGATGCAAGAAGCTATTGACCAATCAAAAAGGGAAGTATCCGACACGGGCATAAATGCAATAGGGGCAACATATACTCTCCATGCCGTGCCACTTGGCCTTAGCGGCTCACAGACACTTTTCCCATCCATTGCTTGCATGCCTCTTGTCAAGCTCGATCTTACTGACTGCTATTTGGGCGATGCAGGCACTCGCACCCTGGCAGAGTTGTTGAGCACAAGTTCCCGTTGTGGACATGTGATGCGCGTTATTTATCTAGGTGGTGTTGGTATCACAGATGCTTCACCGCTGGCGTGTTTCGTGACAGCAGCCTATCATTTGCAGCTGCTTGATGTCTCTCGCAACAGAATTGGTACACAACCACATGGCTTGGCGGTGCTGTGCGCGGCGATGCAGCACCACAAATCGATACGGGAGGTGAATCTGAGTGACAACCTAATAAGCGGTTCGTGCACCGTGAGTGTGCGGGCAATTGCGGAGTGGGTGGTGTGCGCTGGCCACGGCGACGTTTTGCATCGCATTGATTTGCGTTTTAACACGATGGGGATGCTGCGGGAGGTTGGCGGTGTTGCCGTTCCGGCAACGACGAAAGTGACACGCCTCATCTATGGCACACATTCACTTGTGGATGCGCTCTTGTTTAACAACACACTGGAATCCCTTGAACTTTACGGCAACGCTCTTTCAGCCGATGTTCTTGATGTCGTGGGAGCCAAGTTGGCTGTCAACAAGCGTACGAAGGAGATTCTTCGTAAATCGCTCGCGCAAGTGGCGTAGGGCGGGGGCGAGGAATACCGATACACACACGCAACACGGAAGTTGCAACATCAACTTCAAGAGGCTCAGATGACGAGAGTGTAGACACATGATAGATATATTCCATCTTTTTACCCTTATTGTATGCAGGCGGGGGTACGTTGTATTTTGGAGGTGGTGTTTGTTTTCTTTTCACAGACTTTTCTCTCTCCCTTTGAGGAACCCACTTCCTCCAGGGTCGTACCACCGTCCAAGGCAGAAGGAGAAGCAAGAAAGAACTGAGAAGAAACCGTTCCATGAGCTCGAAGGCCCAATCGACGCCACAGCGGGTGCACGGCGCAGCCACCACTGCTGTTGTCACGGAGCCTGTGGCTGCCGCGCTGCCGCCGAGGAAGGTGGCAGAGTTGGTTCGACAGCTGGCAGAGTCTCAGTATGAGGCACAACAACTCCACCAGCGGATGGAGTTGTTGCAGCGGGAAAACGCCTCACTTCACGCTGCCATTTTGCGCCGACATGACGCGGTTAGCATCGAAAGCGTCGCGCCGTCCCAGCAAAAACTATCCCCCAACTTTAAACAGCAGCAGCAACTACGGAGAGGTGAGGGCGAGGAGTCTCCCGCAGGGGTGGAAAGAGATACCACTGCGACACATAGGACTTCTGTAAAGACTCCAGCATTTATAGACCGAGTAATGTCAGTTGTACCGAAGGCGCAGGCGCCATTTGCACTCGAAGCGACGGGGGCACTCTTGACGCCGCCATGTTCTTTTTTGAAGGCAGATGACGAGCCGCCTGCAGTAGGCACTCAACGCTCTTCTCATGTGGACTCTTGCTGGAAGAGGAAGTACGCAAAGCTGAAGCGTGTTCATGAGAAGACGCTTAGAGAGCGTGATGAGCAGCTTGCGGAGGTGCAGCAGCTGGTCTATCAGATTCACGCGGAGCATGATGAGCTGCGGCATCGTCATGAGCGGGAACGCCTGCAGCAACAACTGGGGCTGGAATCAAAGAACCGAATGTTACTAGAGGCGAAAGCGGATTCTCTTGAAAAAGAGACATTGGCATGGCGACAGCGATTTTTGCGTTTGCTAGAAGGGTCCACGCAGCTGCGGAATCCAGTGATGGCGCCAGAAGTGACGCCATCACTTAGTGACGCTTGTGACAGGGAAAACCCTCCATCTCGTCCGGATGGTTTGAACCAGACAGATCGTTCTTTTGTGTGGACGGAGAGTGCACTTGCTTCCGTGCTGAATACACACACATCCCCGCAGATTGCAGGTGATTTGCCTGGTTGTTGTAATGGCGATACCGTAAGGAAGAAGATGAATGATGTGGAGCAGTTGTACCGGCAGCTGCAGCAGCAGAGAGGAGAGGATGTAGTCAATTCAGTTGGTTCACTTGGAATTCAGAATGCTTCTTTACGATCGTTTACTGCGATTTGCAGGCGCTCCATTGCTGTACAAGTGAGACCATCCACCACAACCGCAACCTCGCAGACAGAGACGCGTGGTCGGAGGTCTGTAGGCACATTCGTGGATGTTGGCAACCAGAATAACGAGGTAGTTAAGGATATGCTGCACTCTGCGGGGGAGCCAGAGCTGACACAGCACGGTGCTCAAAAGAAAATTTCCACCATTTCTGATAGGAATATAGCAGAGCTACCACAATCTCATTTTTCCGAAACCTTAAAGAGTTCGCATCCAGTCTGTGCGTTGCAGCCTGCGCAGCAGAAGAGTCTGCAGCATCACGTTTATTACTCTTTGAATCAGGCGCATGGAATGGGCAACAACCGCCAACCATCTTCCTCGCCCTTAGTTGGGCTTGCGAAGGAACGAAAGCTTTTCTTGACCAATTTTGCTTTTCCTGTAGCTTCTTCTTCTGCCTGCATGACGAGTTTTGGGACTGTTCCTGACGGCGATCAGGCGGAACGAGATCGTCTTGAAGCGGACATCCGAAGGCATGATCAACTTCTAGAATCCGTAGCGAAACTGCAGCGACAAGCTCAGCGTGTTGCCAAGACACCATCGTTTTAGGGACGTGTGCGTTTACACTGCGTATTAGTGTCACGGGCTTTATTTGTTTCCCTGTTTTTTGTTTTTTTTGTTTGTTTTGTTTTGGTGTACCGTTGGTGAAGAGCACAGTTATTTATGTGCCTCTGCGTGTTATAACTCTCTTGTGTTCTCTATTCTCTTGGTTTCAGTATTGTTATTCTTGTTACTGTGAGATGTGGGATCAAGAGTGAGCGATATTTCGCTATCTCTTTTTCCGTGTACATTGTCTACCCTTTTCAGTGTGGCAGACCTCATTTCTTCTTGAGAGTATCAGCTGGAAGGTCCTTTTGTCTTTGTTCCCTATCTTTTATGAAGATAATCTTTCACGTGTATTCATCTCCTTGCGTGTGAATACGTACATACTCGTCAATAGATGTGTGTGTGCCTGGCATGCAGTTGTGACTCCGCTGTTTCGTGAGCTACGGATAGTTTTCTTGCGTTTGATACGATGCCCGTATAGATCTACGGTGACTTTTATTTCTGTGTGTATGCGTGTGTGTGTGGTGCTTCTTTACAGTACTTTTTTTTTTTGTGTGCGTGTGTGTGCTTTGTTCCTTCTGTCTGCTGGGTCCCCGCCCACCGCTTTGCGCGTAGGAGATTTATAGGGTTTTCTTCCTCCGGGGGAGTTGCGTTTTTGGTTTTGTGGCTTTTGTGTGGCGCGAGTGCCGTCATTCATGTCGACAAATTCACGGACCCACGAAACGATAAACGCGGTACCTCTCCACGGAGCGGCCGCCAGTGAGGTGGCCGTTCCGCTTGACGGGAGCGAGAATTTTCAGAGCATCACTGCCGACGCACATGATATGCTCCTGTGTGCACAGACAGAGAGAGATATGAATGCGTGCAGGGGACATCAGGCGAGCAACGTCGATGACTGTGTTTCCTTCGGTGACTTTTTCTTTCACGGTCTTTCACCTGAGGGAGGTGGTGACGCGGCACAGCCCGCTGTGTTTGAGGGCTTTTGCTTTGACGACATCTGCGGCGATGGCGCATGGCCAGCGAGCGCCATGGCGGTAGGCACCACACCTGGAGAGACTGCCGAGGAGAGCAATCATCCAACTACACTGCCCTTGTTTGACTTTCTTCTTTCCGAAGATGCCACCTCCACAGCTATGACGGAGGCTGTGAACAGAGACACAGAAGAAGAAAGGGCGCTCCGCGTGGAATCGGGTGTGGCGCGTCCAAACAGCGGTGTGAGGGGTGACGCTTCTGCACCCCTTGCTGTTTCTACGGAAGTGCCACGACGCCCAGCGCCACAAGAAACGAAAAAGGTGTTGGGAGAAATCACTGGCCATTTTTCTTCCACCACAACTGACATCACTGAGGCGGTATCCATGGCGCCTGCCGATCTCGGCAACCACAGTACCCGCCGAAGTAGCGGCGGAAACAATACTCCCGTTGAGGTCACCAATGTGACGAAGGAGGTGGTGAATAACGTCTCCTCTCTTCCATTTGGTCCACTGCGGCAGTCACTCAAACTCAATGACACCTCTGTCTCCTCCGCTGTGGAAAGCGCGACAACAACTGTGGGAGCGGCTCCACGTGTGCCGCGGGAAAGTGTAGATAAGTTGCTGCGGCGTGCAGATTATATTCTTTCTGACGGAGGCCCTGCCGACGCTGTGCAGGACGCTGCCGACGGAGGGAGTGAACGTAACGGTAATCAATCGGATATTCTCTTCAGCGCGCAGGTTTCCCACTGGCTACGAAGATGCGTGGAGGTGCAGGAGGCTTCTTTGGCCGCTGTGGCGGACCTTCAACTACGAACGACACAGACAATACGACTGTTCAGTGCCCACTCAGGACTTTCTTCTGCACTCGGGCCGCAATACAGTAGAACACCCGTTGTTTTAACACTTCCACTTGTACTTCCGCTGATGGAGTCCCTTCTTGAGGAAGACTGAGCGCTTTTGGCTTCCAGAGGCGGGATAGAAACACTCGCGTCCGCATCTTCACACGCTGCGACTTCATGCACACGAAAGAGGTACAAGTCAATGAAAGACAGAGTTTTGCCTGTTATATATACATATATTTGTCACTAATGGAAGAAGGAGGGGTGTATGTTTTTTTTTGTTTATTTTATTTTTTTGTTTTTTGTAACTTTTTTTGGTTTTTGAGTCAAATTTATTTTTTTCTCGTCTGGGGGGTCCTTGCGAAGGGTATGTGTGTGTGTGTTTCTTCCTGTCATGCCTGAATGTCCTGTGGGTTTCTTTTTTGCCCATTCAAGAGTACATTTCAAAAGATGATTCTACCATTGTTTGTTTCTGCCTTAATATTTTGCCTGCTTCTCACTGCATTTTTTGTTTTTATCATTGATGTTGCCTCCTGAGGTGTGTGTGTGTGTGTGACTCTGTGTAGCAGGCAGCATTTTTTGGGGGGAACAAAGAGAGCAAAAAGAGGAAGAGGAAAGTTCAGGTGAACGTGGAGTTGCGGTGCGGAGTAGTCAGAGGCAATCAATGGACGGCGTGCAGTACCAAATAGAGCAGCTACAGTACGCTCTTGGGCAGCTAGACCCGCATCGCATGCTGGCGCCAGAGGACGCCTCTCAGCTGCAAATGGGTCTTGCGAACACAGCAGCAATTGCCCGTCGTGTGGTGGAGCGGCAATCCCGCCGAACGTTTCCGATGCGTCTGACAGGTGTTAGCGTGTCTACCAACGTTCGACCTACTCTTCCTGGCGTGAGCCCCCTCGCCACCTCCTCGTCTTCAGGAGAGGTGCATCGGCAGGAGCCGTCACACGCCCTCAGGAGTGACCCAACATCTACTGGGGTGAAGAGGAGTGGTGCAGGGGAGTCATTGCCGCAGCAGGGTGACAGAGGGAGGGAGGGGGAATGCTTCTACGAGACCGTTCTTACCGTCGCCACGCAGCACAGAGTTTCAGTGAACGAGATCCGTCGCTACAATCCACAGTTGTCAGAGTACAAAGATGAGGATGTACTTCCAAAAAATACATACATCAAGATGAAGCTGCAAATGAGTCCACGCCTCCAGTATGAGGACAACACGGAACAGTCACGGGTTGATTCTCGTGTAGAAACACGGCAAACTCACCCCGAGGCCACAGCGTCGACAGAGCTCCCTATGCCGCTAGCACCATTACCGGCTACTCAGGAGGCACTGCGCCGTCCCATGAATTTGCAAGTCATGCTGATGCGAGGTGGCGAGAAGTCTCCACTCCGTGACTCTCAGACGGACAACACGGACTCACCGGGTGGACCACTGATGCAACTACCCTCTCCTTCCCCTGACAGAGTGGGCTTATCGAGAGGAGGAAATTCCACCAACCACGTCATCGCAAGTGAACTCCACGACAATAGCTATACAACTGACATAAATTCAGTGCACTCTACCATTGCACCGGAGGCTACTGTTGCTATTGCTGCTGCTGCTGCCACTGTTGAGGGTGCCAGCAATTATCCCGCTGTGACAGGGGTTTTCAAGGGCAGGTTGAGTGCCAGGAGCCCAGCTGAGGTGAACAGCGCGGCATTTGAGGCTGCTTCAAATTCTCTTTGCGCCTTGAAGCTGGCCAAGCCCCCGCTCACTCAACGCAAGAGTACCGTGTCCTCTGCTAATACCCATACTATTTCACGATATACAAACCCGCTGTGGGCCGGCGATCGTGATCATTCCTTCACGACGGACTCGTCTTCCTTTCACTCTACCCCTACACCTACACCTACCCCAAACGTGTCGCCGCAGCCAAACAAAAAGAAAAATTTGGAAGAGTCTGCAAGAGCAAGGAGGGGCGGATTGGTGCCCACACTACCCCCACCCTCATCGCTGGAAACAAAAAGTGAGTGGCAAACGATGGTTCCTGCAGCAGAGGCGTTACTAGAAGATAGTTCTTTTGAGAGCAAAGGGTTGTCGCCGATTGCAAAGACGTCTCCCCAGCCTATTGAGAGCGACGATGAGTATGACACTCTGAATTCTATCGCCTTGAAGTACAACGTTACCATCAAGGTTGTACTGCAGTGGAATCCGTACTTGATGGCATACGAGGCAGATGACCCGTTGCCGGCGAATTTACCTATTTTACTCCCGGTGCCGCAGAAGAACTGACCTTTGTACCTCGCGGCTGTCGTCTCTACCTACGTTTTAAGCCTTCGCCCCCCTCCCCCCCCCCTTTCTATGACTAAGAGGCCGGATTTCGAAGGAGGGGTGACGACTTGGCACGAGCAAACCAACGAGATGAAGGACAAAAAGAAGATTTAGAATGTTTTTTTTATATTTTAGTTATTTAGCTATTTTGTTGTAGAAACGTGAGGAGGAGGAATTTATGGTTCTATGATAGAGTGTATATTATATATATACGTATAATATATACATATAATATATATATAAGCGGTATAGAGGGCTGCGGTGTGTCTTGTTGTTTTTTTTTTGCATGAATGGGGGAAGGCGGGGCAGTGCAATCGTGTCTGCAAATGCACTGGCTCGTACAACATGCAACGTTTTCGGCGGCCACATGTACATATCACGTGCCTAGTTTCATATGCTGATGTAGTTTTAGCTTGATGCGCCTTCGCATGTGAATCCGCGTGGAGGTGTCAAACAATCGCGACGGCAGAAGAATGGGGGAGTCTGACGTCTATAAATGACAGCGGGAAGAAGACAGAGCGAAGCTACGTGGGAAGGAAAGATCAGCTCCTGGCATAAGAATAAGAGTATCGGCAGCGAAGCATGCGCAAGTAGAACGGAGGATTTTCTTAGAGGGGACAAAGAGAAGGAGGGGGGCATGTGCCTACACCTATTTATCCCAGCCAGAGTGAGGTAAAGCGTGCCAGGATGAATGTTTTACCTCCACTGATGATTAATGCGTTTTTGTTTTTAGCTTTTCGTCACTTCTCACTTCCAAACCCACCCACCCACACCCACACACGCAAATATTTCCCCGCTTGATTTTCCCTTCCACGTGCTGCCGGAGAATTCAGTCGAGTAGCGCTGCGGATCACAACAGAGTGGCGTGAGGCCATGCGAGTGGGATCAGAGGTATTAACTTTTTACAACAGGACGGGCAGGAAGAAGTAAGTGTTTCGAGAAATTTGAAACAAATAAAAACGGTTATTATTTTTCTTTTTTTGAAGTAACACGTTGTGTAGCAGAGCTGTCTGCAGTAAAGGATGTGTGGGGTTTAGTATGTGTGAGTGTGAGTATATATATATATATATGTATATGTGCTTGCGTGCCTCTAGAACTTAGCGGGTATCTGTTTCCTCTTCTTTTTTTTTTTTACTCCCCCTGCTGCTGCACTCACCTCCTACTGCAATGTTTCTTCTACACAGTGTTTGCACCAGTCAAGGAAGAGAACACCTTTTTGTTTTATTTTGCGTCTTTCTGTTCCTACAGTTATGCAGCCGCCTGCTGTTGCAACGCATCCCGTCGGTGCTGCAGCGCTTCCCATAATTCTTCGGAAGGATGACAATCTTGTTCTTGCCACTTTCTCTGAACAGCAGCGCATACTGACGGAGGTGGAAAGCACACTTATGACTGGCGACTATCGTGAGTGTGAGGTGCAATTTAATCCTGTGAAGAGGACTGCCTTTGCCCATGCTACGACGATGCATGTGCGCTACAGTGAGTTGGTGCCGACGCAAGATGCAACTGCATGGGGGCTGAGACTGCTTTTTGAAGTTGAGGAGCGGAACGTTGTGGCGTTGTCGTTCTCGACACTTGGTACAATACTTGTGACGTACGCTATGATGGACAGCAAGCGGCCGGAGGGCAACATGTCACTCTACGATGTTTCTACGGGAAATCTGCTTCGCCGCTGTGTGCAGGCCCGCTGGCCTGGCATGGTGTGGTCAAGTGAGGAATTGTATTGCGTTCGTCCAGTGCAAGGATTTCTCCACGTGATGGATGGTAACCTTCGCCGGGAGGATGTGCCGGTGCTCGCAAAGATGGATCTTCATCTGCCGCAAGACAAGGAGATTGAGTTGTCAATGTGCCCGGGCAATATCCCTCTACTTGCTCTTTTTAAACCCTTTCACAAACAAGTACAAGGCACGCTGTTTATCTACCGACTCCCTAACCTCTTGGAGGGTGCGATGTATCAGGTGCCATTTGGTCGTGCAGAGTCGGCAACAGTGCTTTGGAGTCGGTCTGGAAACCATTTGGCACTGCAGGTCAAATCTGAGAGTGACAAGAGCGGTAAGAGCTACTACGGCACTGTGAGATTCTTTCTTGTAAATGTGATTGATCGCAGTGTAAAAGAGATTAAGTTCCCTAACGGGGAGTCCGTACATGACTGTCAGTGGAGTCCAAGCACTGATCAAGTCATGGTGATTCATGGCACGATGCCACGCAACAAGACGACACTATACGACAAGGCCGGCGTGGCGCTTATGACGTTTGACGAGGCGCCTCGAAACGTTATTCTTTGGGCGCCGAATGGCCGTTTTTGTGCGTTGGGTGGCACAGGGAATCTTGCAGGGGATTTTGTGTTCTATGACCTGCACCCTGCAGAGGGAAACGAGGGGATCATGAAGGTTAATCATAACGACAAAAACAAGATGACACCCACGACTTTGAAGCCTGCAGCAGCGGCGGCGATATCGGTGGGTGGGTTTAATGAGAAGAGCAGCGTGCAGACGTGGGCCCCCGACTCGCACAACTTTCTCTGTGCTACTGTCTTCACCCGTCTACGTATTGATAACAAACTTGTTTTTTTCAAGAAAAATGGCGAGCACCTGATGACTCAGAAGTATCCCTTTCTTTATGGTGCTTACTGGGTGCAAACGCAGGACACAAACTTGTACCCTCAGCGTCCAGCTTCGCCGTGCAGGGAGACGAATAGACCCGCCAAACCGCAACCGTACAGACCACCTCATGCAAGTGCAGCAGCTGCAGCACTTTTGCGCCGGCCAGATTCCTCTACACCCAAGCAAGGTAAACCCGCAGGTCCTCCTGGTGCTACAGTTGTAGTGCAGAAAAAGAAGAAACGGTGACGGATGCTTTTCTGTTTAACATCTTTATTATGTCGCTTTTGTGAGGGCGTGACTTTTTTTCTTTGGCATTGCTCCGAATAAGACGGGAATTTCATTTCTCTTCTCGTAGATCGTTTTAAACTTTAAGCGGGTGAGAGAACAGTCAAGCTTGGCCCTGCAGTCTCTACTCACTAACAGTGCTGCTGCTCATGGGCAAGGAGTTTTTGCCTTTTCATCCCCATTAGACACGCCCTTTTTTTTGTTGCTATTTTTTCTCTCCGTGGTGGGAAAAGGCAGCCTTTTGTTGCACTTGTCTTCACCACTCCTCCTACCTTCTTATTGTCGATGGTGCGGTTGCTTTATTGGTGCTGCCGAGCAGAAGTAGTAGTTGCAAGGTCGAGAAAAAAACAAAAACAACAAGAAGCAAAATAATGTGTTGAGTGGGGTGACGCCTGTTGTATTGCGGAGCCGAACAATTGAAAAGGGCAGCTGCGCGGAGGTGGGCATGGATGGAGTTTATCACGGCAACTGGTCCCGGTTTGCAGGTGAGCCTGAGGATGAAGTAAATGGCTAGGCGACGGCGCGGACTCCATGCGTAGCCGAAAGAGGGTTGAACGTGTGGCTCTCGGGGAAATGTTGGTGTTATCTCTGATGGTCATCAGGACGACAACTTATTTGCACGAGTGTGTTCTGGGGCCTCGCAATGTGCGTGGAGCCAGGGAAACCTGGGTGGAAGCAAAATAAGGGCGCGAGCCCACCACCTCACAGAAAATGCCGAATACTCTGCAGAGTTGGCAAGATATGACGCCCTAATTCCACAACTTTTCTGAAGATGATGGGCCGTTTTGCGTTGGCCGATGTCTCTGGCCAACTCGACGGCAAGCGTGTGCGTGTGGTGGATGCCCCGTGGCCGTCCATTGTGGGGCGCGAGTTCTGGCTGGACACAAGCTGGGACGAGCACTGGTTTCTGTTTCACGACGACAGCGCTTTACAGGTGGCGGGGCGACCGAGCGAGCAGGACGTGGTGGAGCGCAGTGACAGGGGATTGGTGGAGGGACGCCGCGTGGCGACAGTGCGGATACTGGAGTAGGTGCAGAGACAACAATACTCACTTCCATATGGAACTGGAATACGGCGTGTCGACATGCGGAAAATGGACTGTTGGACACGATCTTTGCTTTGGAAGTGTGGAGAAGGCAATGCCGTCACCAACGCAACGACAGACGCCGTCTGCTGGACGCAGTGGTGGCATTGGTAGTACACCTTTTTATGACCACGCCAATTTGTTCTCCTACCATGCGTGCTTGTGTGTGTGT